CCACACCCATCTCCCTCCCTGTGTACCATACATTACCCCCTGCTGCCCAGGCCCCCCTGTGTCCCACCAACTCCCAGTGCTGCAAGCTTCCCTCCTTTACTTCCCACCGACAGTTGCAAGCACACAATAGGATCCTTCAGGATGGAGAGTGGGGGCCCCTTCCTTTCCTGAATGAACACAGTATAAACACAATGAGTGATTGGTACCAATCACCCGCTGTGTTCATTCATAACTTAACCATCTTAAACCTTTTGGGGGAATCCCTGTCAGATTGGCTGTATGGGCCCCGTGGTTTCTATCAGCAGCCCTGGATATGGCCACATAAATAGCTGCAGCCAATTTTTGTGTGGCCAGATATCTGCACATAGCCACCCTGGATGCATATTAGCTGCTTTAAGGGTCAGTCAGAGGCCCTATCTGTTGAGCAGTTGCATGTGCACAGTAGCAGCGCCAGCTATTGATTTGTACAAAGTACAAATCTGACAGCCGCCAAAGGCAGCTGCAGCTGTTTGCATGCTGGGACACATTGTCACCAGGAAAAGAAGGCACTAAGAGCTATAAAAACTTTGTCAGATGTTACATTTAAAGAGTGTCACTCACATATAAATATACATAAATATATACAGTATATCCCACTAGGTAGAATTGTGTAAAAATATGTCACAAAAATGATTTTACTTCTGGAAATAACTCAGCTTCCCTATGATCTCTGTAATGATTCCAGTAAATCTATCTATTGCATATATAATTATTGCACTCATTACATTGGGAATTCTGGTATAACCTGATTTCTAAATCAGAGGCCCTCTGAGAATTACATTGCAGCGGAGTCCCATTAATTAGAAGAAATGGAACGAGTCTGTGATATGAAGACACTCATTGCTTAATTATTATTGCATGTAGTTAATTACTGATGTTCAGATTCAGCGTTGGCTTCTAAATCAACAAGGAAATCTCTGCCACTCTCATGAAACAGTCCCAGATAGGTAATCTCTCTAATCAGACAATAGGTGCATTTCCTAATGTCTGCCGTTTACAAATATGCTCAGTGCAGCACAAGAACCCTAGGCTCAGATCCCACTAAGGGCAAAATCTGCATGGAGTTTGTTCTTCCTGCATTTGCCCAGGTTTGTTACAGTCTCCTCCCACTATCCCAAAACTGTCACGCTTATCCAACACAGGTGGTCAGGCACTATAGCTGGCTTCTGTGTTCTTCACCTATAGCAGCCCACTTTCCCATAAGGCAAGCAGGCCTACCAGTACTTGGTTGCCCTCATGACTTATACACAATGCTATAGTGCCTGGCTACCACATCGGGGCAGGTGCGAATTGAGCACAGCAAACAGGTACTTGCGGTTGGCAGACAGGCAGTAGTTCAGTGACAGTCCAGGTACAAGGCAGGCAAGGTTCAGAGTAGTCAGGGTCCAATCCATAGTCAAAATGCAGGCAGAGTTCAGGCAGAGTGCAGAGAATAGTTGATATCCAATCTGAGGTCATGTGAATTTAAACAGCAGAGCAGAACAGACAGAAAGTGAACTTGAGCATGCATTACACATGCTATCACAAGCATGAGACTACGGGCTTGTCTGGCTTAAATCAGGTTTGGTCTCCACCCAGAGACTGGCCACATCAATCACATTACAGGTGGACAGACACCAGGGAGAGTGCCTCATAGCCAAAACCAGCATGCTGGGACCAGCAGATATGATGGAGTAGGAGCGCTACACACTCCTGACAAAAACACACTGTACTGGTACTGGCTTCAATGGAATTGCCATTTTCCCATCACATTTTATGGTAAAGAGAGGTCTACATTATTATCAGCCCTGGTTTGGCAGAGGGATCTACTAAGGATGAAGGTAGCTTGTTAACCTTTATTTTTCAAAATGTATTGGTATTCTCTAAATGAATCTGTCACTGGTCTGTGCAAATTGAGTACATGATGAAAAATGCATAAGCAGAGACCACTCACAGTTATTATTTTTTTCACTTTGGCTCCCTCCTAGTTAGGCTGCTAGATACATTTGGTTTTTGGCTCCTTCTGTAAGCACGGGAGCAATGGTTGTTTGGTCTGGTCTGTTCAGAGCTTCACAAGTTGAGAGTTTGATTGCTTCCTCCTGCCTCTAGAAGACATTTGTAGAGCTTAGGGAGGGAGCATTCAAATGTCCAGCCTGAGTATTAAGCAGGGCCTAGCCAATCCCTGCGGAGGTGTGCCAGGATGGTGGCTGGGATGCTGGAGCCTGGAGCGATTGTCTTTTCCCTCCTAAGAGAATGGACCTGTGAGCTGAAAGGAAGGGGGCTGCTTGCCCATGGAGACCTTTGGACTGGATGCTGGATTACTTTACCAGAAACTCCACCTACTGACTGATCTTGTTCCAAGATCCTGTGAGTAGAGCTGCTCAAGCTACTTGATGTTCCTCAGCCGTGAACCTGTGGAGTGTTCCGGTCAAGCTACACTTGCAGTACTATTAGAGTAAGAAGTGTCCTCTGCTAGCAATACCTCACTCTTGGAGTATCCAATACCACCCCAAACCCTCTCCTGTTACCAGTTCTACAAGCAAATAAACTTTAAAAAAAACCCTAGACTTTTTAGTGAGCCGGAGTGAATGAACTGTTGCTGTATGCCTGGCTGCTTCTGCACTGTTTGGGAAAGATCTACAGCGGCCCCTAAGGGGGTAGCACTATATCGCCAAAGTTTCAAATATATTTAACAGTTTCCTGTAAAAGTCCAGCTTAGCTTTCCCCCTTCCCACTGGTAAAGTCTTCCTATTGGTCAAAGAGGGTATTCATTACATTAAATAACCAATGCAAAGACTTGGGAAGATGGTGGACCAGAGCCAAACTTGACTTTTGCAGGAAAAATATATCTGCATTGAAAGTGACCCCCAGTCACTACAGAAGGAAAAATTATCAGTAAAAAAAAGAGAATCTATTTTAAGCAGGCCATAGATGATGCAAAAAGGTTCGACATGCGATTTTCATGCCACAAAAGTGCCTAATCCATAATGATGGATTCTTATTAGAAACAAATTGATGGCACAATTGTATGAGCTATTTTTATCTTTTGCTCAACAGAACTTTCGGATTTTGACTTGTCTATGCCCTGCCTTACCTTTCCTTTTCCAGGTGAAATGCTGCCACAATGCTTCCCCTTGGCTGCTGCAAGTATTCAACCTTTTGTGTGGGTTGGAAACCTGCTCCTCCTGCTGCTATCTATGGTTCCTTCCTTGCCCTATAGTGAAGACCAAAACCACTTGCCTACCGGGTACATTTACCCCCTTCCTGCCCAGACCAATTTTCAGCTTTCAGTGATGTTGCACTTTGAATGACAATTGCATGGTCATGCAACACTGTATCCATACAAACTTTTTATTATTTTTTTTGCACAAATAGAGCTTTCTTTTGGTGCTATTTAATAACCACTGGGTTTTTAATTTTTTGCACTATAAATGAAAAAAGAGCAAAAATTTGAAAAACAAAGTTTTCTTTGTTTCTATTATAAAATTTTGCAAACAGGCCATTTTTCTCCTTCACTGATGTGCGTTGATGAGGATGCACTGATAGGCAGCACTGATGGGCACTGATGAGGTGACACTGATAGGCAGCACAGATGGGCTGCACTGATGAGGCGGCACTAAAGGCGGCACTGGTGGGCATATGTGAGGAGGCACTGATGATGCTGCACTGATAGGCGGAAATGATGGACACTGATAGGTGGCACTGATGGGCACTAATAGATAGCACCGAAGGGCACTGACTGGTAGCACTGGCCGGCAGCACTGATGTACGGTACTGGATGGTGGCACTGACAGGTGGCACTGACGGGCACAGATTGGCAGCACTGCTGGGCAGCACTGTTGGGCACTGATGGGCAGAACTGTTGGGCACTGCTGGGCAGCATTGCTAGGAAGCACTGTTGAGCACTGATGGGCAGCACTGTTGGGCACTGATGGGCAGCACTGCTGAGCACTGAGGGGCACTTTTGGGGCTGCACTGATAATCAGGGCACTGATAACAGTGCCCTGATTATCATTGCAGATGTCTCCTTTGACAGTTGCCGGTTATTGGCATTACTTTCCTCACCCTGTCATATAGTAAAAGGCCACTGTGATTGGCCTTTTACCATGTCATGTGATCAGCTGTGTCCAAAGGACACAGCAATCACAATCAGCGACTGGGGGCGTGGGGGGGCTGATTCTGGGAGGACATCATAAAATGCCCTCCCAGAACTGGATGGCCGCACTGTAGCCGTCATTTGGCTATAGCGCGGTAAGGAAGTGGTTAAAGATTATTTACTGCTTGTTAAGAAAATTTAAATATTTAAAACTGAAGATTAGGTGTGGCAAAGTTTACAGCTTCCAGCTTGGACCAATGTAAGTATTTATGTGCTATACCAGTGGCACTGCTATGTATGTGTCCCTTGGAAGCTGGAAATCACTGTAGTAGGCGCCACTACTACAGTGATCTTCATTAGATACCAGGTCTTGTGCCAAGCGGCATTGTGAACACAGGAGGTTGCTCATTTGGCAGGGGTGCCATTCAAGAAACACTTTGCATTTTCTCATGGAATGCAACGCATTCTCTGATTAGATGAGGTGGAGAGGCGGGGTGGTGATGTCATGATCTTCACCTTGTCCAATCCGAGAACACTTTTCATTCAATGATGAAATGCAAAATGTTCTCTGCTGAGCAGGTGACCTCCTGTGTTTGGTAAGCAGCAGGGCAGCTGCTTGGCATTAGACTAGGAAGCTAGTGGAGATTTCCAGCTTCTAAGGAGATCCCATAGGTATGTACCTACATAACTATATGATTCAAGCTGGATCAAAGTAACCATGTCAAAATTGCCATACCCAAACATCAGCGTTAAATGTCCATAGTCTGGCCAGAGGTTTACTTTACGTTGTAACAAGCATGGTTGCCAGGTGTAGATGGACATCGAGAGGAACATTAGAACATCAAGCTGTGCCCTCGCAGGTCTTTAAATGCACCATGGTTGAGTCCTAAGCCCACATCAGCAAAAATCAGTCTAACAAACAAAGCATGCTTGTTATACTCACTGTGGAATCCAAGGGGTTAATCCTCCTCATTGTGTAAAAAGGCTGTTTGATCCTGTCTTCTCTGATTCGCCCCTTCTTCTACTGTCCCCAGTCCATCTCCTGATAGTAAAGAGCTGTAAGAGTCACTCTGCGCATGATCAGTTTAGTGTGTATTGCTAGAGTTTTTTTTTCTTTGGGAGGGTGCATGTGATCAGCACAGGGCCAATCAGCACTGTCCAGACAGAGGATCAGGGGTCATGCAGCTCATAGGACAGTACAGCAAAATGAAAACTCCTCCTACAAGCTTTAACCAGTGCTTAGCTGGGCAGTGATAGAAGTCACAAGGCTGCTGATGACAAAAGGTATTTAGCAATTTATATTTACTAAAATAATTGCATTTCCATGTTGTGTGTACTGTGGGAGACCAGGTATAGTGAATGAAGGGTCCTGGGATTAGTAACACTTTAAATGGAGGCCTGTGCCTCAGAGTTAAGCTGACACTGGTCACATCCTAGAACGGCTGGGCACAGTACTGACTTGAAAGTTCTATTCAGTATGAATTAGTGGGATGTGCAGTGATGCGTGTTATGACTTTGATCTTAAGTATTCTGGCTGCAAAGTACCAAAGCCCCAAGAAACCTAAGTGTGCTCACTAATTGTCACTTAATCCTATTTATAGAGATGGCCAGACGTTTGCCAGATTTTGCCTGAGAGCTCACAGCAGGGCAAGGCTGCAATCACATATACTGTATGTCCTTTTCTTCCCGCTATGGGAATCTGTAGACATTCTCTAGTCATTGTCTTGATGGTGACTCCAAATTTATTATATTTCTAGTAGATTGGATAATGCCCGATGAAGAAGTCCTAAAATGCATATGTAGAATATTCACCTAGCCAAAGTAAACACCTAAAATGAACTCCAAGCAAAAAACTAAATACACCACCGAAATGTACAGTATGTATTGCACCCGCTCTGCCTACTAAATGAATTGTAGTCATGCCCATCCTGTCCTGAGAGTGAGCAGGATCAAGATGAAGACCTGACTTTTCACTTCTGCAATTAAAGAGGAGATAAAAACGAAAATAAAAGTCAGCAGCTACAAAAACTGTCACTGCTGCCTTTTAAAATACAGACACTTACCTGTCCCTCAGTCCAGCAGTGTCCTCACCACAGCTGGTTTTACCGTCTGTCTTCTCTCCCTGGCGCCGGCATCTTCAGTGTGGGCACCCGGCTGTGACAGCTTATGACTTTACAGCCGAGTGCCCACTGCACATGTGCAAGTAGCGCTGCGCTTTGTGAATGGTCCTGTAGTCTTCTGGGACCTGTTATGTGTCCCAGAAGACTATGGGGGGGGGGGGGGTAGGGAAGACAATGTCCACCTCCAATTGCCTTAGGCGATCGCACCAGAAGTGGGAGCGGGTACCTGTCAAATTTGAGTATGTGCTCCCCATAGGTGCCTATCCTTAATGGGGAGTGGGGGACAAAGCCTTAAAGCAGAACCTCCCTTTCTGGTGGAGCTCCGCTTTAAGCAATATAGCCTGGCCACCCCCCTGTCCCCAGCCAGTGATTGGACAACGAAGGAGCAGCAACCCACTGATGAGCTCTTTCCTTCCATCACTCTGCTCTCTCTTCCTCTCAGAATGCTCACTGTCACCACATGTACTCTGCAGCACAACTAATCTCCTGGTGCATCCTCTAATATCCCAGTCTGACTGCTACTGTACGGGGGATGACAAGAGGCAGATATTAAGAAAACTTCAGGAACTTACACTAGTTGCATTATAAAATACAGGTACTTTTATATTAAATACTTGATGTTTTAGCTGGTGTTATGAATACCTGGAGTCCATATTAAATATGGTATGTTGCTGAAGACTTGTAGTGTTGGGCCTGTGATGAATAAACTTTTAAGGGTCTATTCATAAAAAAATGTGACAGCACTCAGACAGCCATTGCAAACAATCCCTGTAATCTGTCTCATATGTTTATTTTCCATGATTGTCAGTTCCATCTGGTGGCCATAATGTGGAGTTTTCCTTAAATATCTCAATCAAGAAAATTCTCCATTATGGCCACTAGATGGAGTTGACTATCATAAGAAATAAAAGTACTACATTATGGCCACTAGGTAGAGCTGACGATCATAGGAAATAAACATATTAGATGCATTATGGGGATTATTCACAATGATTGTGTGAATGCTGAGACATTCTCACGGTGAACTTTTTTTTTATAAATAGACCTTTGACCTAATCTGCCAAGAAATAAAAATGCAGCAAACAGACACAGATCAAAGCACTTTACATTAACAAAAGAAAAAAATAATCACTGTTATATGACATTTATTAACCATCAGCCAACTACCAAGCATAAAAGTGGGTAGGATAACATAGCACCAATTGAATTATATGGAGCATGCTGCACAGGCACAGAAAGCTGCATTGTGGGATGGCAGGACAGTGTGTAATTGTTCCCTATAGATTTCCGCAGGGCACCAGCAGCGATCAGAGTGATGGATGGGACCAAGAGCAGCCAGTATAGGCACCAGAGGGTACTTACAGTATAGCAAGGTACGCAGTTCTTGTTTTAGTACAGGTGGGTACCTTGTAAGTATCACATCCATAGCAGAAAGGTAGGTAGTCACAGATAGGTCATTGCATTGTTGTGGGCACTGTGGCGAGCAGCGCTGGCAGTTTTTGCCTCAGCAGTGGTGTCACTTCTATAGTTCATACATAGGAGTAGCACAGCTGCAACACATGAACATCCAGTGGAACCAGCAGCCAACCAGTAAGAGTACCTGAGTTCATATGTGACCCCTGGGACTGTCAGCACCACCTGCATACCAAAACATCTCATTAAAGTAGATGCAAACCCTACCACTGACATCTCATAGAAGCTTCAACAAGTTATTGGGACAGAAAAAACATCTCTCCAAGAAGAAAAAACTATCTGATGCAAATTTTGGCTTTTTCCTCCTTTTTCCAAATTAAAAAAAATCAATATGATATGCAGTAGTTGTTTCTTGTTTCTTCCAGATGGGGACACATGATGTGGTGACAACTGACCCCGTACTTTGGAAAGATTTCCTCTCACTTCCTGTAATGTCCTCAGGCTAGGAAGTGAAGGCAGATCTCCCAAGTGGGACGCAACCAGCAATATACTTGACTGGGGTTTCACTGACTCTCTCTAAGTGTTAGGGATTAGTTTGTTACCTTAACCACTTCAATAGCACTTTCCTCCCCAGGCCAATTGTCAGCACTGTCACACTTTGAATGACAATTGCGCAGTCGTGCAACACTGCACCGATATGAACTTTTTAATATATTTTTTTAGACAGATAGGGCTTTCCTTTGGTGGTATTTAATCACCACAGTTTTGTTTTAGTTATTTTTAAACAAATGAAAAAAAGTGACATTTTATAAAGAAAAAAAAACTTTTTTTTTAGTTTCTGTTACAAACTTTTGCAAATAATTTTTCTTCTTCACTGACGTGCACTGATGAGGCTGCACTGATTGATGGGCACTGATAGGTTGCACTGATGGGCACTGATAAGCTGCACTGATGGGCAATGATGAGGCTGCACTGATGGGCAATAATGAGGCTGCACTGATGGGCACAATGAGGCTGCACTGATGGGCACTAATGAGGCTGCACTGAAGTGTACTGAGGTGTGCTAATGAGGCTGCACTGATGGACAATGACAGGCTGCACTGATGAGCACTGATAGGCTGCATTGATAGGCAAGGAGGAGGCTGCACTGATGGCCAATGATGAGGCTGCACTAGTTGGCAATAATGAGGCTGCACTGATGGGCACTGATAGGTGGCATGATGGACACCGATAAGCTGCACTGATGGGTACTGATTGGCTGCACTGTTGGGCACTGATTGGCACTGATAAGCTGCACTGTTGGGCACTGATGGGGCTGCACTGATAATCAGGGCACCGATGATCAGTGCCCTGATTATCAGTGTAAACAAAGTGCTGTCAGGATTGCCGGTATCGGCATTCCTTTCCTCATGCTGTGACAACACTGAGAAAAGGAAGAGCTGATAACCGGCAATCTGTTTACTTGTAATCAGCTGTGATTGGACACAGCCGATCACATGGTAAAGGGTCACTGTGATTGATCCAAAGGACACAGCTGGTCACAGATAGCGCCCAATCTGTGAGGCGTATTCTGGGAAGATGTCTATAGATGCCCTCCCAAGAGGAGAGAACTGCTCTGTAGCCGTCTTTCGGATATAGCACGGTAATGAGGTAGTTAAAGGAAACCTACACTAATGCCCCGTACACACGATAAGAAAATCGTACGAAAAATTTTGCGGAACCACTGATCGAATGATTTACTCTTCATTGATGAGCAGGATGTTTTAACCGATAACGATATTGTGAATGAAAAAATCCGGTTGAAACAACATTGAAAGATTTTGTTGTTTCGCATACGAACAACCAATTTTCTATGCGGTGGTATGATGGTTGTACGAAAAAAATCTATCAAGCGCTATCACGCATGAGTGGAAACAGAAGATGACTCGGATATTTAAGCAATCTTCGTAAACAAGAACGAAAAATCCAAATGTTAAAAGTAGATTGGCCTAATGAGATAATGAAACCAGAATTCTGCAGATTATATGATACATAAATCACTATTTATATATATATAGATAATGTAATAAACTATATTATACTCATTGCTGTTCATTGTTGTGTATATCGCTCGTTCTGGCCGGAAGGGCGTGGCTACAAGGTCACACGCACACTGCATCACTTCCACTTGTACGGAAGACGTCAACACTACGTATTGCCCTACGAATGATTTTTTTGATTGGATATTGTGGGTCATGATTTCGACCAACGAACGACGAACGTCTCTCGGTCGTCAGATGACCGATCGGTTGACTTTCTAATCGTCCACCTTAAGAGAGTATGGAGGTGTCCATTGCTGATCTCTCCTAGCTATCATGCTAATACAATGGCTTCAATGTTTTCTGGTGCCACAGAACCTACAGAATATGAAGCTGACTTTCTGATCTGAAGACTTGTTGTGCGTCAGAAACTTCTAAAGCAATGAGACAGCCAGGAACCTAGCATTTTCAGAAGGGCTCAGTAATCAAGGCCTCCATATTTTTCTCACAACATTATGATTCATGTAAGTACATACATTAACCTATCCAAAGGTATCTGTGGAAGATGCCTAGCCATATAAGGTAGTGTGGCCGAGCGGTCTAAGGCGCTGGATTTAGGCTCCAGTCTCTCTGGAGGCGTGGGTTCGAATCCCACCACTGCCAAACTTTTAAAAACCCAAAATCCAGCAGTTATTTATTTATTTTTGTATAAAGAGGGAAAGAGTTAACATTTATGCAGAATCCTATTTCTGTCTGTAACCCCTTAGGGGAGATTTCCTCTCCCTTCCTGCCCATGTCACACCTGCTTTG